TGAGTCACTGTAGACAGTTCGCTCAGCGTCAGTGAGTCACTGTAGACAGTTCGCTCAGTGTCAGTGCGTCACTGCAGACAGTTCGCTAAGTGACAGTGCGTCACCGCAGACAGTGTGCTCAGTGTCAGTGTCGTCACCGTACCGGTGAACGCCAGTGTGATTTTATCGGTGGTCAGTATACTGATACTGCACATCCCTAGTTACTACTGATTGGCTGCCATTGGCTTTATTCACCTTACCATCAATCACAAGTGCAATTTCGTAGATCCACAAAGTGGAGCCCACACGCAAACTATCATAAGAGCTTGGCGAGGTCCGAAGAATGAAAACAGGAAAAGACAAGGGACCAATCTAGCTTTTGTTGATTCATATCGATGTGAACATATGTGGCGTTCAAGGCTGAATGGACGTGACCTGTTTGATGCGATTCTAGATGATATAGCCGCATTTTGGTGACCAGAAGACTAGTACTAATGTTGTTCTGTTTTATTTGTTATGATCTCGTTTTATCTCAGCAAAAAAACTTTAAAAAAAAATTTTAAAACTTTTGCGGGGCGATAACAAACAACTACCACATTTTTACTACATGCACTTTGTCTTTAAAAAAAAGAACCTTTAACATCCTAAGGATCAAAAGGAAGAAATAAAAAATTTTTTTCAAAATAAAGTATCGGATAACAGCACGAGAATTGAACTAGAAATACTTCGAAGATCTTTGCCGAGTATTAATAAAAGATAAGGGTGTGGGTGTGGGTGTTGATGGGGTGGGTGTGAGCGTGGGTGGCTGTGGGGAGTGGGTTGGGGTGGGGGTGTGGGTGTTGATGGGGTGGGTGTGAGCGTGGGTGGCTGTGGGGAGTGGGTTGGGGTGGGGGTGTGAGGTGTGGGTGCGCGTGTGGCTGGGTGTGGTGTGTGAGGTGTGGGTGCGGGTGCGGGTGCGGGTGTGGCTAGGTGTGAGTGTCGACGCTTATTCAAACGAATAGGGCAGTCATAACCACATCCACATCTGCACACATCCTTCTCCACACCCTTTTTCGAATAATCCTTTTTTACTATTATACAAAAGAATACCTTTATGATTAGAGCGCCATTTTTAAAGAGTTTTTTGAGATATTGAACTTTTCATTCCTGTTCTCGTGAAAAGTAAGAATTTAGAAAAGAAGCTCGGTCATATTCTACATCTCGATATACTCTGTGTAAAGATAATTCGAATAATAAAAAAGATTTAAAAAGAATTCTCTAAATATATAGATGAGATTAAAGCAAAAATGAAAATAATAATTGTAATGGCATTAAATAATTGTTTCAAAATTATTGTCCACAAATGCATTTGGAGCATGAAAGAAAATATTTTTTATTTCGAATTGTTGTATTCATACACTCTATATTCTTATTTGAAAAGCGATTAAGCTTATTCTAACTAATTCAATTTGATATAAATGCAAGTAAAGATTTACTATGCATCTTGAATGTGTCGATAATTAATATCTTTTTTTTTCCTATTTTGTTTTGCTATTGATTATTGATATCATCACTAATTCGATGAAGGACATAAAAAACGAACAACATATGTATTCAACATTGCATACATTTTTTCTCTCTTGATGCAGTTCATACTCAATATTTATAAAGACATTAAGAATTCTTATTTTAAATGATTTTTCATTTTATTACCTTGCTTTAGATCCATCTATTTGAATATAATACGGAAGTATATAGAACAATTTATTAAAATAGTTTAAATAGATGAGAAAGTTCCTGTAAAATAGCATACATAAATTGTTGATGAACATTATTTTATGTTATTTGTTATTACTTGTTAGACTTTCGATAGCTATTAGAATTTGCTATAAAATGTGAAAAAAAGGGAAATGAAATTAGAATTGAAGTATCAATTATAAAGAAAAATTGTTGTTGATTATATTATTACCTTTTCTCAAAGAAAGAGTTATACAGCGGTAAATATGCTTAAATGTGTTTGCCCTTTCTTTGCTTTGTTTTGTCCAAATCAATCAGAAAACAGCATGGACTAGATTCATAGAAATAGTTTTTATTAGTCGTTGAAAACTTTGACCAATGATTATTTTAGGTGAGGAATCCGAATCCGAGATCATTTTTCGATCTAATAATAATCGTTAATAATACTAATTAATTTTTTAAGATTTTCTTAAAAAATAGAACCAAAGATCATTTAACATGAGGAATTCGAATCCAAGATCAGTTTTTGCTCTAATTTTAATATATAATAACGTTTAATAAACTTTTCATTGTGACTTATTCATTTTTTTATATTTCTTAGAATGCAGAAGGACACCTAATCTAGCATCAGAAAGTTCAAATCTATAATTACTATTTCATCTAGTTTTAATATTTAATATTTAAGTGTTTTTGATATTCACTTAAGATTTGACCGAGACTAATCTGACCTGAAGAATTTGAATTCGAATCGAGTTGTGATCTTATTATTTTAAAGCTCATTGTTTTTTATTTGAAAATGATGAAATTATGAACACGTTTAAACAATTTATGTTTTCCCATCGATATCAAATATTTTCTGTACATATAAATTTTATATTTCACGATAGTTATTTTTTTTTAAAGATATTCAATATAAATACACTTATTCCAGTTCTAAGCAATTTATCTTCTTTACCACATCTTTTCTCATTAATGATCCAAACATCCAATGTTAAAGGAAAAATTAATGATATCTATCGATTGATATTTGTCTTACCGAAATTCAAATATCATCAAATTTCTTTTTCTGATAATTCTCACTCAATAATACTTCCAATAGCTATGAACAACCAATTCAGTCATTTTGAATATTTTGTTATCTGATCATTATTGTTCTTTGAATGAACTTGCAACTTTAATTTCTTATACAATATGACTTCGCCGTTTAACACTTCATAAAACAAAAACAAATGATTCAAATACAACGATATTATCATCAATTACATTAGCCAATTTAGAATCAATTTATTTGGATTTATGTAAAACAAAATTTAAGGCTGTTTCCCTCCCAATGATAAAACTTTGCATAGATGTTGGGCCCATGGAAGTACATAAGTAAAAAAAATTTCAGGCCTTTATACCTTACCATTCAGGAAATATCAAGAGACCAAGCTACAAAATAGGTCTTTTACGTGTACAAATTTTTTTCTAACATACTTCAAGCTGCAGAATTCGGGTTGCTTTTATTTGAAAAAGAACTCATTACTGCTTCCAATGAGGGAAAGAGGTTTTTTTTAATCTTTACTTTTTTGCATTTTAAAGATCATTGAAATCTCAAAAATCTGAAAATCCTAGGCCTGATTTTCTAGAAAATCGAGCGGGTTTCTCTAGCATTGATCACCATTTAAAAAATTCCGTTCCCTCATCTGAAAGACTATGCATGTATCTATCGATGAAAAAAAATAAAGCTCTCTAGATAGAAGTATAGGGCATCCAGTAAGTCATGAAACAGACACACTAAAAATTGAATATCTCCATTACGGCTCGAGCAAACGAGTTGATTTTCTTACCAAAGATAGAGGCATGTTCACACTTCAAATCCGTACGGACAAGATTAGTGAGAACCTATGATGAGCATATTGTTTTCTTTTTCAATCTATGAACAAGTCAAATTTTCTTGTTGCAGTCAATAGTGGTATTTAACAAAGGTTCTTCCTGATCTTGTCCATTTTAATTTGGAGTGTGAATATGCCTCTATCCTTGCTAAAAAAAAATGAGCTCGTTTGGTCGAGCTATAATGAAGATATTCAATTTTTATTTCGATGTAAAAGAATAAAATAATAGAACTTTAAAATTTCAATAATCAATATACATATTTTGAAATATGATATACACTCCTTTTTTCACGTCTATCTTTCATTGAGTTAAGTACATGTAGTTTCGAATTAACATTGAAGTATATTAGTAATCAGATTTAATAACATCAATGAAAATGTTTGACATGTACGTGTTAATATATTTTGTAATAATCGACTCTCTCTCTCTCTCTGTTTCATAGAGAAAAGGGAAAATGAAACATAAAGGCACGCTTTTATCTTATCTGAATCATTTGATTCAATGAGAAAATTCAAATCATTCCAAAGATATAAAATTAGATGCTTGATTATTGATATTCTATTTCGTATAGAATTTTTCAAAACAATCATACAGTTATTTATTGAAAACAAGCAACAAGTCTATTGATTACTTTATTATCAAGAAAAAAATAAAACTTTTATAAATATATCATATATAATTTTCATCGTCGGTGGCATTAATTTTGTTTCTTCTAGGTGTAAAATGAACACTTTTACGGTCTTATTAATAAATGTTTTAGTGTAAATTAAGGATGCAGAGAAAGAATAAAAGAAAAAGAAAAAACTTGTATGAATTAAATTCATTTTTGACTCTAAAAGTTGTCGTGCAAACAAAACAAAATGAGAAAATGTATACAATTGTTAATAGCAAATACAGAACAAATAAAAAATACGATATAAACCTTAGTTCATGTTTAAACTCAATTAATATTTATGACGGAAATTCCCTATAGAAAGAAAAATATTTTTCTTTCTTTTAGTTCATATGAATATAAATCTTTAATTTATCAATAGTTTCTTTTATTTCTTTTTACTTGATTTCTATCATATTTATACAAATGATCGATATGTTAAATCACTATGATTACTCATCTCTGGTTTTTTTTAAGAATGAATTATTATTTGACGATAGTTCGTATACGTGTTATTAAGTGAGTGTGTCAAAGATTTGAAGAAATTCAAAAGAAAAAACACACACACACACACATACCGTTCTCATTCTTTACTCCCGTAATGTATTAAATTATGAACGGAAAGCTCGGTCGCTACTTTTTTCAGATTATTGAGTAGGTGGTAAAAATAGAAAATGAGAGAGAGAGAGAGAGAGAATAGACAGAGAAAAAAAAAAAGTCGCATTAGACGGCAATAATAATTGTTAGACGGCTAACATAATCAATATTGCTCGGCAACATGCTCCAGCAACAACAACAACATCGGTTTCCACCAATTACAAAACAGCCTCGTTTTAAACTTTTGAAAGATGTTACACAACAACCATATCATGTACGAAAATTCTTTTAATTAAATTTCAAAAAAACAAAAATCAAAATTTTGTTTTTATTTTGATTTAGATTGGTACGGTTCGATATTATCCTAATAATAGTACAAAAACTTTAAAAAATAACAATGAAACAGATAATGATGATAGTGATTATGATGTACCGGATCCAGGTGGTGAAGTAGTTGAAAGAAATAGAAAAGATCGTGAACAACGTATTGCTGATTATACCAAAGAAGAACTTGATAAAGTTCTTAAACGTGTCGATAATGTAAAAAAAAAACAAGCAAATTTCTATTCAAAGTTTTCGTTGTTTTTTATTTTGTCTTTCTAATTGAAATTCTTTAGACTTTGAATAATTATGAATATTCTGTTCAAGCATCTTTACTTCAACATGGAATGACACGTGATGATTTGAATAGTATTGAACATGTCGCTGATGTTCGAGAATTAGAAAATTTATTAAATGATAGTCTTGCTAAACAACGAGTAAAATTCATGTTCATATTATGACTTTTTATTTCTTTAAAACCTTTCTAGTATAAACAACGTTTAATGGTTTTTATTGTTGGACAAACAGAACAAGCAAGTGAAAAAGCTAAATTACTTCAACAACTCGGACAGGTTTTTATATTAGTTTGTTTGTCATCATTGAAATGAAATTATTTTGATTTTTATTTAAGTTTTTTATTGAACAAAAACAAAATTTTAGTGGTGCTGAATTTAATGATTGTGATGATTCAGGTGATACTGTTGATGAAGTTGAAGAAGCACTCAAATCATTTGATGTTAAAGATTGTTACCTTCATGTTAAAGCATTAGGAAATAGAATAAATGAACTTAATGAAGAAATTATTCAATTTTTAATACAAAATACTGGAACTAAACAAACAAAGTAAATAATGAATTTATATATATTTTTCTTCTAAAAGTTATTTGTTTACTATTTTTTTTATTAGAGTTATGGTCGAAAGGTGATTTTATTATTTTATTTTTATTAAACTTTCTCTCTTTATTAATAGAGGAAAACGGAAATTAGCTCAAGTGACTAAGGAAGCGAAAGAACAATTAGCTGACCTTCAATCAAAACTAGAAATCGCGAATACAGGTAGAATAGAAGAACGGCTTTTCTTTTATTAAATGTTTTTTAATATAAAATTTATAAATAGAAATGATGGGAAAAGGCGAGAAAATTCAAACGTTAGAAAAAGATATTGAAGGAATACGTGTTGAAGTTAAAACAAGTCAAGAAAATCAAGTATTAAGAAATGAAACTAAAGAAATGGATTTTTTTTCATGAAAATTTAATTTAGAAAAAAACATATGATGATCTTAAAAAACGTGAAGCTGAAGTTAAATTTTACAAACGAAAAAATAATGAATTTGAAGAAATTGTTAGTCGATATAGAATTCAATTTGGAGATATACCTGGTATCGGTATATTAACATCTGCAAGTCAATCAGAAATAGAAGTGAGTGAAATACGATATAGTTGTATATATATATATATTTTTCTTTTCTTCGAGTTTTGTAATTCAAGAATTTAATATAATTCAAACTCATGATGTATGCATATTGATAAAGAATAATCAAAATTTTTTATAGTAAATATTAACAAGAATGAATCACGTTTAGCAATTAAGTATAAACATGTACAAGATTGAATCGAAGATTTTAGGTGATTCCACGGTTTATGTGACACGTTTATATTGAGTTTCTTCAAATCGATTTTCACGTGTCAAATCGTGTAGATATAGTATTATATAAAAACATCGCAAAAAAAGGCTAAAAAGTCCATCGTCATATATCTCTCATACAGAATTTGGGCACATAGTGGATTTTGCTTCACAAAACTCACTATATCACTATGTGCTCAAATTCTGTATCAGAGATATATGATGATGGACTTTTTAGCCTTTTTTTGTGGTATTTTTATATATTATTAGCTATATTTTGGTATATCTACATGATTTGAAACGTGAAAATCGATTTGAAGGAACTTGATGTAAACGTGTCACATATACGATGGAATAACTTATTTATTGAAATCAACAAGATTTGATTTCGATTATCTTTCTATTAGAGTTGTAGCCAAACTGGCTGATCTTCACCGATTCTTACTGATAGAAAAAAATTTGATAGATATGTCATTTTTCTCAGATAAAACTTGTTGAGAGTAAATTTTCTTGCTCTTAATCAAGATAAACAAACAGTGTTATTTCTAGAACTATGAAAATGACTGTTTTTTGAAGCCACTCTCAACAATTGATGAATAATGATCCAATAAATTGACTGGTTACCGGTTGGATCAGGTCAATTCATAAATGCTCGACCGATTACAACTCTACTATTGTCCTCATTTGAATAATTTATTAGATTTATAAATTACACGCAAACATTCTTGAAATAAAAACCGGTTTTTTTTTTGAAAGCATCAATAACATTTTAAATTACTTTAATCAAAGACAGATCATTCATAAACGTTGATTATCGTCTAATTTTTTGAATATATCCTATTTTGAGTGAATTATAGTTTTACCTAATTGTATCTTTTACAAACAATCATTATTTTAGTTCACTGATTAGTTTTTGATAAAGAAAAGTTTAATAGTAGAGCAATTACATACTTAAAAAAAACCAACCTATGAAATCTAAAAGGATGCGATTGATAATAGAAACTTCATAAAATTCTCTGTCTAATTAGTTTTGTCTTCCTTTCATAGCAAAAGAAAAAAAAAATTTTTAAACTCCACTATCTTTTTCATGTATCCTCTTGTAATTCTTTTCGAAATTTGATGAATTTTAAGTATTCATATAAAAGTAGAAAAGAAACATTTATAACGTCATTGATTGTTAAGATTAAACCATTATTTTTGCTGTCAAGATTATCAAAAAAAGATGTGTTATTTTTATCCGAAGGCCACAGAAACTCTTAACTTCATTATTTTACCTTGATTCAATTTTCTTTTTAGGATGGTGATGATGCATCAAAAATGAATTGTAAATAAATCTTTATTATTATATTTTTATTTTTTTTCCATTTATTACTTCATAGTGGAAACAATTGATGAAACCGAAAGTAAATATGAAAAAGAAAGTATTTCAAGTCATATGGGTAAAGAACCAGGTCAACCAACCATAGGTCCTCCGACTACAACTGAACCAACAACAACTGTAATTTTTTTTTGTTTCTTATTTATGTATTCTATAATAAATTGTACTTTTATTTTTTAGAATGTAACAAAACCTTTACCAGGAACAACTACTGTTCCACCATCGACAGTAGAAAAAGTTGTAAGAACGATATTATTTATTTAAAAAACAAAGTGTTTTCTTTTCTTTCTGGTTGTTTTTTTATTATTATTTATTAGTCAAAAAAAGCTAAAACTCGCGTATGTGAATTTAATTATTGTCTTGTTATTGTTCTATATATATATATTTTGTTTTTCTTTATCTAATTAAAAAATAATATATATTAATTAATAAAATTTTATATTTAGGAAAAAATAAAACGAAAAACAATTCGTTCGAAAAAAGAACCAACAAATCAAAGTGGTGCCGAAGATCCAAGTGAAATTTATCGTCGTAGTCAAGAATTACTTGAATCATTATTAGCTGATAAAAGTGAACTAGCTCCTGATCTTAATTTATTATTTAAACCAACACGTGGTATCGATTTAAATAATGTAACTATTGACAATTTACCAACAGCATTTACCAATCTACGAAGATTTGTATGTTTGCATATAAATATGAGAACAAGAAAGAATGAGAGAGACAGAAAGAAATTATTTTACATTCATATAGACCATTATTCGTGTGAAAGAATTATTAAAAGAACTCGAAACAAAAGAAACAATAAACAAGGAGACAGTACAAATTTTAAAACAAGAATTTGTTGAGCATAAAACAACATATGAAAAGGTAAAGAGAAAAAAAAGAGATGATGAAGTTCGATCTTTTCTTTTTTTTTTTTAATATTTTTTTTTTCGTAAAAATAAACTATTCAATTTTCAAAATAGGAACGACTTCTTTACTTTCTAAGTCTTGATCCAGACGAAAATACATTGCAAGAGGTTGGATTATTGTTGTTTTGTTCATGTCGTGTCGTTTTTTTTTTGTTTTCTTATTAATTAATTTAAATATTTAAATAATAATAAATTTTTTAGGAACAAAACGCATTAACTGAAAAAGCAGATCATGCACATAAATTACAATTAAAAGCACAAAAAACAGCCGAAGAAGCATTAAATCATTTAGAATTATTTATGGTTGAACAAGAAAGATTGGTAATTTTATTTTTTTTAAAGAGAAAAAGATTATTTGTATAGAATGTAGAATCAAACTTTATTAATTCAATTAACTTATAATCTTTAATATAATTTCATCATTATATTCTTAAAATTTTCTTTTCATAGGATCAACAAGACGTTGCTCGTCAAACTGATCTTGTTCATCGTCATTCCGTTGTTGTTAATAATATGACTGGTGCTAATATAACTCCACCAGATCATACTACTCCTATTGAAAATATTCTGAATGATCGTTTATCACCTAATCCAAAGGTAATTTTAATCAAAAAATTTTTTTTTCTACTAATCACTAACATCTAACATTAACAAAATTTTACTAATCAGCGTATATCATCATCAAAAAGTCAATGGCAAAATTTATCTGTTATTGATAGTGGATCAATAAATCCAGAAATAACTGATGAAACAAAATCAATTATGTATGAAACAGTACAAACATTACAACGTTTATCTAGTAATCATAAAACAACACCACCTAAACAAACTCAACGAACAGATTCTATTGAACAATCACCTTCAACACCATTATTACGTCATACAACACAAGAATTATTACGTAAAAAATCTTCTCTTGAACAACCACAACAACAAGATCGTTCAACATCATCATCACGTCGTATAAGTGCAGCTATGAATGATGATTTTATTCCATTATCAAAAGTAGTAACACCACAACCATTTGACCGTACACCATCAATGTCATCACGTCCATTAACACGATCAAATTCAATGAATCCAGCTAATAAAGATCATGATAAATATTCTAGTGGTGAACGATCTTATTATGCATCTGGTGCACAATCACGTCGAGTATCAATAGGTTTAAATCGTTCACCTGTACGAGCTGAAGAACTTGAAAGAGTACTTACTAAGGTTAATCTCTAATCGTTGTCTCGTACAGCTTTTTCTTTTGCTTAATAATGTTTTTCTTATTTATGATAATTATATATTGAAATTATTTTTGTTTAGCTTGTTAATGAAGAAATTGAAGCTTTAGAAGATTTTCGACGAACATCAGTTAAAAGTCGTACATCATTACGAGAAAAATATATGTCTTTATTAGAAGAAAAAAAACATGAATTAGATGATCTTAAACAACAAGCTACTATTACTTTATCACGACCAACAACATCAACAAAAGATAGAAGACCATTTGAATCATTAGAAAATAGTACAGGTAATTTAAATATGATTAACATTTAAGGACTTTTTTTTATGAAAAATTTATATGACAAATTGAATGAAAAAAATTTATTTGTTCTTTCATTGATTGGATTTCATGAGACATGAATATTTTTCTTTTTTGTTTAGTTTCTATTTAACAAAAAAACATAAAAATGAAATTGAATATATTTATATGTCAAGTCTACATATAAAAGCTGTTAGCACAAACTCTGTAGGATTAAAATTTGAAACTTGATGTTAGTACTCCAGAAATGCAATAAGAAAATAGTTCATATATTATAAGAAGACGTTATTGATATACAGTCTGTGATAGTAGATCAACAACCTCTGTCACGATCTGTAATGTTGTCATGTAATATTCATTGACTAAAAATATGTCAATAAAAAATTGCTAACGAGGAAACTTCCTCAACTGACATCTGCTATTTGAGTTCATATTGGATCCAGAGGCAGGTTCCAGTGAGATTAGCAAAATCCTAAAGCGGTTCATTCTCATAGGCGTTTAGTATTGAGTTATGGCTAGTTTACTAGATTTTCGATTCATTTATAGGTAGTTTGCGAAAAAACAAATCACGGAGTTTAGATCTAAAATTTTGCCTACAGATAGGTTTAATGAATCTTAGAAAATCCTGAAAATTTCAGCCGAAAAGAATATTCCTTCGTCAAGATATTGGATAAGTACCTAAAATGGATCACACATCATGTAAACTAGTCATAACTCAGCGCTAATGGCCTATGAAGAAGAACTGTTGAAGACTTTCATTAGTCTCACTGATACCTACCTGTGTGCTTGATATGAGCTCAAATGGCAGGCGTCAGTTAGAACAGTTTCCTTACAAGAAGATTATCAACGACCTTTAGATATCAAAGAAGATTTCTATTTTCTTATATATTTTCTATCCAATATAGATCAAATAGAATCAATTATTAATCAGTAACAGTTTCAGCTTTCTCATAGAACTAATAAGATCTACATATAATGAAATTAAAATAATTTGTTTTCTGCTACATGACTATCCATTGTTCGTCTTTGTCTTTATATGTATCGCGAATAATCTTAAATCTTTTTATATCTTGCATTTGTTAATCCTTACTTATCAATAGTTATAGTAATTTATAATAATTTCATACTAATGCATTCTATTATGAATTCAAAAATAATTTATTTTAGGTCTTGTCAAACAACCATCAACAATTTCTCCATTGGATAGTAGTAGCCCGGGTGAATTTATTGGTAACAAAGAAAATCGAACAAGTATATTCTTTTATCTCCTTCGGCTAAATTTCATAATTATAATTTTTTTTTTTCAGCTGTAATAAAACATGATCAACAACAACAAACATCACCTAATGATTCTCGACTATCATCTGCTCATAAAGAAAAGTAAATATAATCAAATTCTATATTTCTATATTATTTTTCATTTTAGATCAAATATTCCTCCACCACAAGTCATACACAGTGATCAATTTAAAGTTCCATTTTTTCATTTATATGAAACAATCTATAAATTTCGTCATTCAATCATAAATTTACTTGAACAAAATAAATTTCTTTCACTTGCTGATCGTCTTGATATGATTAAACAATTATCAACATCTGATAATAATATAACAAATGATTTTGTTGATAATTCTGAACGTGTACTTAAAGATACAGTTAAAGTTTTACAAACATGTATGACAACATTAATATCAACAAAAAATGAAAATGAAAATGAAAATAAAAAAAAAGAATCATCATCTGAACAATCTACAGCAACAACTATGCAAACATCAACAATTAGTCATGATCAATTATCAATTATTCAACAAAAAGAATCTATTATCGAGGATTTAAGTAATAGACATAAACAAATATCACAAGAACTTGATGAAAATAATAAAAAACATAGTGAAGAAATAGTGTAGGGGAAAAACGTTTTCTTTTTCTTCTCCTTTAAAGTCACATTATTTTTTTTTTTGTTATCTTATAGACAAAATGAACGTATGATTACTGATCAACAAAAATTAATTCAAAATCTTCAACGTGAATTAATGCGCCTTCAAAAACGTTTATCAAAAGTTGAAACTGAAGGCATTGTACAACCAAGTATTATGTTTACTCGTCTTGATGCCGAACGTAATGAAAACGTACTTAAACAAGCTGTTGATAAAGGAAAACTATCCGAAACTACAATGAGTGTAAGTTTAATGATTTTATAACAATTACTAATGAGGAAACGTCTCCAAGTGTGACTCAATAATCGAACTTATATTTTGCCTATAAGTAGCTACCGACAAGACTAGTAGAAACCAATTTAGATATTTAATAGTTCAAGTAAAACATATCTTCTTAGGCTGAAATTTTCTAGGCATTCTCTAAGGTTTATGAGATCTACTTATGAACGAAACTTCAGATTGAAATATCGTACTTCAATTTGTTTCACTAGTACCTTGCTAGAGATTAAAAAAATTCAGTAAAATTATATAATAGTTTGGAACGGATAGCGTATGGAGACGAACTTTTATAAGTGTCTACTAGTCTCATCATGGTCTACTTATACGCAAAATATTAGTTCTATTGACGATCCCACTTATACCTCTTCTCTCGTAAGTAAATATCATGCCATATATATATATATATATGTGAAGTAATTTTACATAATTTCTAATCACAAGATATAATTATACTTGTTCGATCAATCAATCAGAAATCTTAGATATCTTTGTTTTATGAAATTCTATTGTTAATCAATGTTAAATTTTATATTAAAAAAGTAGAGATCAGTTTGACAGACATTTCTATTATTACGAAAGATGATGCAAAGAGTGCAGAATTACATATTTCATGATAGAACATGTGAAGTGTTTGGATAAAGAGTGTACTACCTGTTATTTATTTCATCTTTACAAGTCTTCGAATACATTTGACATAAAATTATTTCATTGCGGAGTGTATATTAGCCGTTCGTATGGTTTCCACTTTAATAATTTATAAAATATTTTCTTGTGACCTAGGAAATAAGTGAAGCAATGGAAGATTATGTTCGTTTACCAACTCAACAATTTAGTAATGTTGTTAAACGATATATTCAACATCGAAAAGCAACTGAACTTGAAGGTAAATAAAATAAAAGCACATTTTTTTTATTTCGTTTTTTTTTTTTTTTGTTTTCTTTAAGATCGTATTCAAAGTGAAACATTTGATAATGAAACAAAAAGTGTTATGGAAAGAATGGGATCATTTTACGAACGAGTTAGTTTAACCAATAAATATATTTCTATGAAATTTATTTAGTTATTTTTTTTTTAATAAATTAATTTAGCGTTCAGGAAAAATAAGTGAACGTATATCAAGTATTCGTCAACATCGTACAACATTAGCACGAACATTAACAGAAAAATTTGATAATCTGGAACATGAAAGTAGTATATTTTTAATTCGTCCAGTTTATTCTTATCAAGGACGGTATGTAATCATTGATTTCATTAATAAAATACTTTTTTTTTCGTTTTTTATTTTTTGAAATATTTTCAATTAAAAGAACTGCTGTTCAATCTTATATGGAAAATGAAAAACGACGACAAGAATCATTATTAAAAGGACAAGATAAAAAGAAAAAATCACATCGTAGTCGATTATCAGAATCTACAAGTGATCAACATACTGATAGTAATAGTCGAGAAATGGTTACAGCATTATCAACAACAAGTACATCCGATGAAGATGAAAGATTATTTAATGTAAAATAAATTTTATTTTTTTAATTATTTTTGTTTTTTTTATAAATAAATTTTAGATTGATAAAACTTTTACTGCACTAAGACCAACACCAGCTAGTCAACAATCATCTCAACATGCTGAATCAATTAGTGGAAATCTTAATACAGATAATAAACCAAAACCAACACAATTAAGTGAAATATCACGTTTACAAGAATTTGATATTCAACGTACATTAATGCCAATGTCTCATGCTAGTGTACCATTATCATCAGTTAATTCAAATAATGGAACTGATCCATCTGTACCATCAGTTAATTTACGTTCTTATGTAACATTATCACGACCCGGTATTGGTACAAATATTCGAAATGAAAAAACAAATGATACTATTCATCCAGTTTCGAGAACTGATTTATCTACTTTATCAGGTAATTAAAAAATTTTGATTCTTTTTTTTTTTTGTTTTGTTTTTTGATAAAATTAATTTTATAAAATAGTAACAAGTCAATTAACAAATCCTCGAACACCATTTAATTCAACTGTTGGTGATTTAAGACGAGTAAGTCCACCTTTACCACCAATAAAACGATCATTGACAACAAGTGGATCACCAACAATTGATGAAAGTAAGAATAAAAAAAACAAAAACAAGAACTTTATTCGAAAATTTTTTCTATGAAAAATTTTTTAGAACAAGCTGATGAATTTATTCCATCGGTTAGTAGTAATGAATTTGCTCCAACTGATCATACAACAACAGACGATAAAACTGAAGAGAAATAATGTAAATCTTAATCACATTTATTTTTAAATAAAATATTTAATTATATCACAAATATTTTTTTATTGTTCTATTTAAACTTCTTATTAAACAAGAATTATTCAAAAACTTTTCTTTTAATATCTTGAAATTATATATATTTTTTTTTTGCATATGATAAATTCATAATATAATCTATCATTTTAAATAAATTATTTAAAAAATATTAACGCTTAACTATTTGACAACGCATATTTCATGTCAATTTCA